ACACACACACACACACACACACACACACACACACACACACACACACACACACACACACACACACACATATATATATATATAATATGTGTGTGTGTATATATATGTGTGTGTATATATATATATATATATATATATATATATATATATATATATATATATATACAGCGTTTCAGAGCGTGTTTCGTTCTTACAAAATGTTTTCGCGATTCGCGAGCAGAATTGTAAATATTGTTGGAGATAGCGTTTGTATATTTTTGTCATGTACATTTATAAATTATATTTTTATCTAAGTACATGTGTGTACGTAAACGACACTCTCTGTGTAGGGGGAACGCGATCTTCTTTGCGACAAGCGCCGGCAAGATGCCGCTTTGTCGGCTTTATCGCGAAAAAGTCGAAGCTGCGAACGAAACGATTTTCATTTACAATCCCGAAGGGGAATCCCGATGATTATTGTCAGTTCAATCGAGAGAAAACTGCGGATTGTACGCTCGGAACGAACATCGCGGATTTCCCTCGCGAATCGATACACGCTATGAAGCACGAGACATTTTTATTATCGAAGAACCAAACGGGATCTGTCAAAAAAAGTAAAAGAAATCGAGAAGATTTGGACGGCGGCGAGTAAAAGGAGGCCGCTGCATCGTCGCGTTCATGCTGGATTATAACACGTTCGGTTGTTCGAGTTGCCATGAATCCTCCGACCAGTTCGGACTAAACACGCTTTACTTTTGCTCCGGAGCCGCGAAAAGCGCGAGTGAACCGCGCAATTGTTCAAGTGTGTGCGTGAGTGCGTGCGTGTATGTATGTGTGTGTGCTCACGCGCGTGTGTTGTGTGTGCGTATCTCGTTCACACGCAGCCTAAATGATGATACGAGTGAGAATTTTGCGTGTGTAGTTTGCGCTAAGATCTAAAATCCGAGGCGTTCGAGGACGGTCCGAAGCTCGCGGAACTCAGAATTTCATGGGGCGACTTCGAGGAGCCGGGAACTCGAGGGTTTCAGATCTACGACTTTAGAACGTGTCGAGACGATCGCGTCAACTCGACGTTCGCTCTCTCGTTCGAGAATTCGCGAGGGTCTGTGAGAGGAGAGGTGTGCTGATTAACGCACACCTCGATCGACGAGACGCGACCCGGGAGAGAATCCCAAGAGTCCCAGCTCCCTCGGCTCGCCCAATCTGTAATTGTTTCAATCGGCGAGACACAGTTGTACCTTCGCCATGTACTGTTAAGCGTAAACAGCGAAAGAGAAGACGATGCAAGAGACTCCGCGTAGGTCCGCGTCGATCTCGTCATTTACTCTGTGTCCTCTTTCCAAAATTAACATTTTGCACAAAACATGTGGCGCATTATTCACGCAGAGCCTAAGATGAGAAACGCTAGCGACAATAGTGAGTAAAATCTGTAAGTTGCATCGTTAAACTTACGACAAAACAAAAAAAGAATATGAAGACAAGAATATGAAGACAAATTACGTAGATCCAAAATTGCCTCCAATTTACGCCCCTCCCCCTACTCCTCGATTAATTAATTCGTCGCGTTGGAACAGAATCAATATCATTTAGATTATTTCATTTCACATCCAATTACCGTATCAAATCAGTTTTATTATCAAATCACCACCAAATCCGATTGCAAGTTATGATTTGCTTGTTTGTACGTTTATTTATTCATTTATTCTCATGTATTTCTCATTGTAGAACTCTTCTTACACACACGGAGGCAAAAATACTTGAAAATCTATTTGTGGAGTATGAAGTTGATTCGCACAAAAATAAACTTCATATTTTACAGAAATAAACTTTATATATTCCGCGAGTAAATTTCCAAGCATTAATTTTTTTCGTATAAAGGAGACCGGGGTAAGTTAACAAAATCGATTATTTCTACTGTTCTTTAACAGATTTCAGAATCAAACAAGCAAAAATCTCAAAGCCATCTTTGACATGTTTAAAAATCTTGCTTGCTGAATTCTATAATTTTTTAGAAAACAGCAGAAATAATCGGTTTTGCCAACTTACATCCGGTCTCTCTTGTGTGTGTCTTCATGTTATAGTCGACGCTTTTCAATGCGTAAGCAGATAACAGAAGACAATCCAAAGGAACACTTCTCAAGGAGAAAATACACAGATCGTCGCGTTCCCAGGCAGAACAGAGAATCACGATGACCTCCAAATGATGTGAAAATAGCGAGAAAAAAATTAAGTAACTCATCTTTCAATTCGATAATTTTCTTTTGATGTCATCGTATGATTTTCTGCTGCACTTGGGTTTAGAGCGTCAGCCGCGAGCGACAGTTCGCGAACGTCGCGACGAATCGCGCGCGCGACTGAAAAAATTCCGTATTTACCAGCATCAATGGCGATGTGGAAAGACGCGGCGCCACGATAGCGTATAACGACAAAGTCGAAATTTCGCGAACGAAACGCAGCTGCCGCTCAGTCACACGAAAATATGCAATGTTCAAGAACACTCACCGCAGCTCGGCACAGCAGCTCCTTCGCCGTCGACGCCCGTCCTCGTCTCGTCCGTCGTCCCTTCGCCGGCTCCTCCATCCCTTGCCCCTCGAGGTCGAAGACTCGAGCTAATGACGACTGCGACGATCGTCCGCCATTCGGCACACTTGTTTACATCGTATCGTCACCGTTCGGAGAAGGACGCCGTGTTAATCGCGCCGATCTACGATCCGCGACGATCATCAGCTCGCGATTCGGCACTCCCGACGCTCTTGATGCGTTGACGAGCGCAGAACCGCGGAACACACGACGAAGAACACCGTCGATCGTCGGCCACCGTTGCGTCCGCGAAACTAACGACAACCTTCAGACAAATTCGAAGAACGCGCTGGCAACTTCACGCCGCTCGACGGCGCCGCGGGGCGATGGCTTCTCGAAGGTTACGTGGCGCAGTCTATCTCAATCAGATTTGGTCGCGTTTCCGAAAAAGTTCTGCACCAGTGTAATGAGTTAGTGACAGTGAAACGCAAGTATACTTTCTTTCACTCTATAACTTATCGCACCAGTTCAGAAGTTCCTCGAAAACGAGCGCAGACATCATGAATCTTTTCGAGCCCGATCTCACTTATCGATCATGTGATTGTTTTGCTGGTACGAAATCGCGAAAAGTCAATGCTTTTGCAGCACTCGGAGGCGATCGTGAACCTTCTTTCCAACGCCTCGCGAAGAACAAACATTTCCGTATATTTTCGACGTTAGATTTTTAACTCTTCACGATTCTATGTTTTCCCGAAATTCTCCGGAAGCGCGTATCGATTAAATTCATGAGTCTTACCAATGGTGGCGAGGCTTCCTCTGCCGAATACTGCTGTTACGATCTCACGTCGCGATTACGAATCACGAAAAAGTCTACTGAGGTCCGCGCCGTTCTAGAAGGTTCGACGTTCTCCCGGCGAACACGGCCGTTGCTAGATATCGACACTCGACGCGGAATCGCGTCTTTCGACAAAAAAAAAGGAAACACGGAGCACGTGCGGCACCCAACGTTCCTCAGCGAGCGACGTGCGCCGTTTGCGATAGAGTGACTTTGACCACGCGAGTCAACACACAACGACCGGCGCCGCGTTCTTTGTCGTCCGCGCGCGCGGAAATTCCAGAGCGAGCGGCGAGACGTGCCGATTCCGTTTCGCGTATTTTCACACGGCCGAGACAATGCGAACGCGGACAGATCGTCGCGTTATTGTTTACGGACACGTGGAGCTCCGACAGTAACGCGAGAGCACGTGAGCGGGTCTGTTAGTTTTTGAGTAACTTCTACACTAGCGCAATGAGTTAGAGTGAAACAAACTGTACTTTCTTTCACTCTAACTTACCGCACTACGGTGCACCGGTTCAGAAAATTAACAGGCCTAGTATAATATCTGACGCTACTAACCGCGCGCGAATATTATCTGTTTTTATTAAAACATTTTAAGAGGCTGAAACTCGCGGTAAATCTGATTGAATTGTTGGTGAGTGTCGGGTTGTTAGTAGTGATTTGACTCACTTTTGCGCGTACCATAGATTTTGGCTGCGTTCCGAATTCACTGCTAGTACTGAAATTCTATAATATACGTGACATGAACTATAGATTTTCAGTACTGGCAGTGAATTTCGGAACGCAGGCATAGTAAAAATAGACTGAGCGCGAGGCATGAAATTCAAAGATCACCCAGATAGCACAAATGTCTAAAATCGAGTCATAAGACGTCTTTAGGATATCTTTAATACATCTTTAACACAATACCTTATAATAAACTTGTCTTAAAGATGTCTTAAAGATATCTTAAAGACGTCTTATGACCCGATTTTTGACATTGTGTTTGAGTCAGATAGAAAAGGACAGACAATAGGTGCAACATAAAATAGTAAAATGGTTACAAAATGGAGAGTTAACACACATGTGTTATTTGTATCTAACTGTGATTAGGAAGAGTGTGCGAATAGAAAGAGAAGCTACACGGCACCTGCTTTCTGTCTTTTTCTATCTGATCTTCACTGCCAAACAAAGCACGCGCAGTCTATTCTTACTGTGCCTATGACGCGTATTAGCGTGAAGTTGCCGCTCCGAATCTTGCTTGTGGATGTTTCGAATACGTGTTTCGTGAATATCGGAATCAACGTCGGGAATACGAAACGAGGCGGCTTTGCCGTGGCGCAGTTATTCCCCAATTCCGAGCACTGCGTCGCGGAGAGTGCATCGCGTTATGAAACGAGCACGTCGTCGAGAGTGACGAGGTGACGGACGATCGTCGAGGCAGAGCTCTTCGGTTCAGGATTCTGTGTCCACCCGCGCGGTGCCAAAAAACAGAACGACTGGCGAGAGGCGGTGAGTAACTTCATCATCTGTTCTACACGAGCGAGGGCAATCGTTGCCACGTCTCGTACGTGACGACCTGAGGCTCGTATTAATAGTCATTATATGAGACTTTCTTTCAAATAAGATACTCAAATTCGAGTTCAGAGTTAAATGAGAGCTTTTCAGTTGAATCGCAATTGTAGATATGTCACATGTATCATATAATTCAACTGAAGAACTTGGAGTGAAAATCTAACTCTGAGTGAAAATCTGAATATCTCACGTGAGACAAACTTCAAGTAACGACTATTAATATAGGCCTATGAGAAATACGCGTATTCGCGGTAATAATACGCAAATAACACACACATAAGCTGTCTTCTCACATAGCGCAGAAATGTTACACCAACATTGATCTCAAGAAGCTTTTAATTAGGTCGCTAAAAGATGATGATGGCGATGTTATCGTGATCTTAAAATGTTACGCAAAAAGAGGATATTTTCGTTTGGAAAGTATCTTTATCTTTGACATGTTAATCTTCAAGCGAGATCACAGCGTTAAACGAAGATAAATTACTTTGCAAGAATATATTTTATATGATTTTTTTTTCAACGAGAGAAGAAAAATTTTATTATTCTTATTGTTCAAAAATAACTTTCATTAGTGGCAAGCATAAAATATTGCGAATGTGATGTTTTTAAATGTACGTTACTTCCCCTTAAATCCACTTAAATCCACTAAAACTAATATATTCAAATTAACAATCATTGTTTCACATATAAGCGACGATATATAATTTTGTTAGGAAAATTCTCTTGTCTTATATTTAAACAATTATTTGTTGAATTGATTATAAAATGTATTGATGGTTGCAGAAATAACTTGTCTTCGTTTACATAACGCTATATGATCTCATTTGAAGACTAGTCAAAAATAACGTAGTCAAAAATAAAGATATTTTCCAAGCAAGAATGTTCTTTTTTTCTGTGTATTTTCCGTGTGTTTTAAACGTAAATATTACGTTAATACAAAGTATTCTTAGTTAATTATTAAGATATTACAGCAATATTTTAGTAACAATAACATTGATTCTGATGCTATGTGGAGTATCGTAGCAAAGTTTCTGAGACATTTCGCGAGTTCTAGAATCTCTTCTGTTTTGTTCGCTTTGTTCAGATAGAAAATCACGAATGAGATTACAAAAATCACGATGACGTCAAAGTGATGTCAGAATAATTGAAAAATTCATTTTTCAATCACGATTCGATCATTTTCTCGTCATTTTAACGCAATCGTGATTTTCTGTTCTATACTTAGAGTATTCATCTTCACTCTTGTTTGTTCTCTTCTGCATTATCTCGGTTCACTTCTATCTTATTCGCTCTCGTGTTCCGACGCGATGAGTTAATGCAATTCTTTCGCATACTCTCGTAAACACGTCCTCATCCTCAGAACGTTACACAACGGTGGACGCTTGATCAAAGAGCGTGTGTTCTCTGTCTGCTGCTCACCCATCGTTCATGAGACGGAAGATCGAGGCGACCGCCTCTATGTAACGATTTTGCTTAATCCTCTCACTCTCAAATTACACGTGAAATTCTTCAAAGAAGTTGCTCGAACGTTCGTTCGTCGGAGTTTACGACGCGACAACGCATCGACGATACTGTCTTGTCTGTGTTTACATCAAATGTCATTGAGAGAAACAAAGCAAAGATGGTAATTTAATTCCACGTGTATTCATCTTGTCACGAATACGTTAAATAAACAAAGGTAAACAAACGGAATAGACAGAAGGAATCTCTTTGTATTCGTAACAGATAAACAGATATTGTATATTTTTTTATGTAAGCGAGAGGATTAACGATAAAACGAAGAGAGAGAGAGAGAGAGAGAGAGAGAGAGAGAGAGAGAGAGAGAGAGAGAGAGAGAGAGAGAGAGAGAGAGAGAGAG